ATTGATTAGGTATTTTCAAATATAAGAAATGTAAGGAACTAAGAATTAGTAACTTACGGACCTCGTATTCCTACCTTTTGTACCAATTTTAAGTTTGTAGTTTGATTTTAAGATAACCTATATTATTTTATGTCCACAAAGATAAAATAATTTGTATCGGCTTAATATTGCAATATTTACATACCATTTTATTTTAATTTTTCCCATACATTAGTTAAACTATCAGATATGTAGTTGAAAAACAAAATACAATTTTAATATTAGTTTGGGGAAAAAGCATCCATTATTTTTTCGGTAGATGGCTGCACTGATAGATTTCTCGTAAAGTATCGATCAAACAATTTCAGATTTATGCTCGTTGGAAAGGTGCCATTTCGCAGTAAAAAAAATTCCTTTGCTGTTTTTTGTTTGGTGCATTCAGTTGTGAGTTACAGCGTGTTAAAAATGGAAGTGAACAAAGAGAAAATTCGGTACATTTTACAGTTTTTCTTTGACAAAGGCGAAAATGCAAGCCAGGCGGCTAAAATTGTGAATGGTGTTTATGGTTCCGATACTGTAACAGCCAATTATGTTCAATTTTGGTTTCGTAGATTCCGTTCAGGAATTTTTGATGTTAAAGATGCACCTCGCACAGGTAGGCCGATCGTCGAAAATGTCAATAAAATCGGAGAAATGATCGAAGTTGACCGGCATGTTAGCAGTCGTAACATAGCCCCGGAGCTAAAAATCGACCATAAAACAGTTCTAAACCATTTACACAAAGCTGGATTCAAAAAGAAGCTCGATGTTTGGGTCCCAGACCAATTAACAGAAAAAAACATGATGGATCGAATTTCCATCTGCGAAGCCTTGGCCAAACGGAATGAGATAGACCCATTTCTTAAACGGATGGTGACTGGAGATGAGAAATGGATCACATACGATAACCCTGTGCGAAAACGATCGTGGTCAAAGAGCGGTGAAGCACCTGAAACGGTGGTCAAACCAGGACTAACGGCCAGGAAGGTTTTGCTATGCATTTGGTGGGACTGGAAGGGGATTATTTATTATGAGTTGCTTCCATATGGCCAAACGCTAAATTCTGATCTCTACTGTCAACAACTGGACCGTTTGAAAATAGCGATTGACCAGAAACGGCCAGAATTGGCCGACAGGAGAGGTGTTCCACCTGGACAACGCTAGGCCACACACATCTACAGTGACTCGCCAGAAAGTTCGGGAGCTTGGTTGGGAAGTTTTAATGCATCCGCCATACAGTCCATACTTGGCACCAAGCGATTATCATCTTTTTTTTGCATTGCAAAATTTCTTTAATGATAAAAAATTGGAATCTAGGGACTATTGTGAAAATCGACTACTAGAGTTTTTTGCAAATAGAGACCAGGACTTCTATGAGAGACGCAGTTTGAAGTTACCTTTAAAATGGCAACAAATCATACAACAAAACGCTGCATATTTGACCCAAATCTGACAATCCGAAGCATGTTAAATAAAGTCCTGAATCTCATATAAAAATAATGGATTTCTTTTTCCCCAAACTATTAATTTGCATTATATCATGCGCATAATCGTCTTTTTCTATTTTCCATAAAAAATCCACAAAGCTTACACTGATGTTTTGACTGTTGCTTAAGAGTAATGAGTAAAAGAAGTTGTAAAAATAATTTGCTTCTATTTTAGTAAACCAAAAGATGGGAGATAAATCTTATCCGATTCACTTTTTCATAACTGTTGTTACGAAAATTCCAAATCCAGTTGATTGCAGCTAATTAAATAATGAACTCCCCAAAAAATGCAACTCCCGGCCGATGAAAACGATTAGTGGAAAGACCAAGTGCAATTTCGCAAGCCCATTATGCAGCTGCCGGCCAAGGAAAACGAGTACCAGAAAATCAGGTTAACGAATTAAAAATGAAACTATAAAATTAGGTATTAGTAATATGATGGTAAAAACGTATATAAATAGAATATTTGTGGAAAGGAGAGTTAGTAGAAAAAGAATTTTGAGTTGAGCAGTTTAAAGTATTACAAAGAATTTTAAAGTGTACTTCTCTTGAACAGAATATCCACGGTCCAGTAATACGGACTGTATCTTAGAAAAGCGAATTTTATAACAACTGGTGTCAGAAGTGAGATCGTGGAAACCAAGAATGAATGGTGAAATTAGAAGAACACAAATTGGATCAGCTTAAACAGGAGCTGGGTAAGAGAAACCTTCATACAACCGGTAGCAAAGCCGAATTAAAACAAAGACTGGTCGAACATCCAGAAAAAGACGGAGAGGAACTGTTCGTAATTGAATTCGAATATAATATCGAGGGAAGACGCAGTAGGGGAAAGACGCAGCGAGGAAAAAGGCGAAGATGTTCCAAGTATATCAAACGTTATGCAGTTTTTACAACAAATGCAACAATAACCGCAACAGATAGAATCAAAAATAGACGAGAGAATACAGGAAAGTCAACACATATAGACGAAACGTTCCAGAAATGTGAAGCAAAGACAGTGTACTGGAAGAAAAAGTTGATAATGCGTTAGGCCAGTTGGATGCGAGAATAAATGCCAAGAAGAAGATGCAGACGCCGTGAAAAGTGAAATAAAAGCATTAAAAAAAGAAATGGCTAAACTACAAACTAATGACGTAACCACAAGCTCTAACAAAGTAAAAACACCCCTATTTGGCGGCACCACTAACTTCAACGCATTCAAGGTACAATTTGGTGTTGTCGCAAACAAAAATACGTGGGAAGACGACGATAAAGCGGTCGCATTAATAACCTTCTTAATAGGAGCATCAGCGGAAATTATCCAGATAATCCTGGAAGGGAAAAAAAGGACGGAATTCGCTGCAATTATGGTAGCAAACATATGAAGAACCATAGCCACCTAGAGTTGTCTTCGCACTGCCAGAAGCTGAACGAAAGGATGAAAGATTATGCTACCGAAATCCAACACCTGGCCAATCTCGCGTATATCCCGACATATAGCCCGACCGTGTGCTGGAAAGATTAAAAATCGACGCCTTTGTTAAAGGTCCTCGTGACGCGGAGCTTAAAGAAGCTGTATGGACGTCACCTACAACGACGTTTATGGAAATGCTTGGCTTCGCGCTTACACAAGAAGCAGCTAGTGTGCTATGGACGTCAAGCATGAATGTGAGACGCACGGAAGTTACCAGCGAGAAGGATAATTTGGATGTGGTCTGCGCGGCGCTTCGACAAGTCCTGTGCGAAAATAAGAAAGTGCCGGGTTCAAAAACACGCAAGTGTTATGTCTGCCAAAAACCTGGTCATTTTGCACGGGACTGCCGATCAAAACACAAAAGAACACCCTTCACATCACCTTACACGGAATATTAATGAAGGTGCCAGCAAGATATCCAAGGAACAGGCGTTAAACTAAAAAGACTCGGCACAGCGGGGCAACGGCTGACTCAGAAATTTAGTAGCCCTAGCATCGTTATTACTCAGCAACCTAACGATCGTTGGGAAAATTCAGGGCTGCAACATCATCACCCTGGACAATGGTGCTTCTCATTCAATTATCAACAGTACAATAGTCAAAGAAAAGTTCGAGCCGTTAATTGGAGCACGGTTTCGAACACCAACATATGCGGAAGCTGCTGTTAAAGAAAACGTTATGAGAAACATTTCGATTAGCGATGTTTCGATAAAGCATGAATTTCTGGTAGCAGATATAGTGGATGAGGTAATATTGGGGATGGATTTTATGGCAAAGCTCGGTATTGGATATGAAAAGGCAAGTGTTACAATACGCCAATATAACTTTGTCATTGACCTTGGAATACAACAGACAAGCCGAAATGTTACAGGTTGTCGTACAACGACAACAGAAGATCCCTCCAAACTCCGAAGCAATAGTGTGGGCCGCGGCTACCGTGGAGCTAAGGGTAAACAAGATATGGGTTGTCGAGCGGAGTAAAGAATATGCGAAAGACAACATCATCATTGGAAAAGCGGTTGTACCATCAGTCAACGACTTAATACCAGTACGGCTATTAAACCCGACCAGCGTTACAACAAAAATTCACAAAGGAGACATTATAGCACAATGACAAAAAGCCGAATATGTAGTAGATCATCAAGCCGAAATTGCGAAAACATGCCCAATGTTATCCCCAGAGGCTGAAATTCTCATAAAAGGATGGACCAGCAATCTGGATGAGCAGCAGAAGAAATATTCCAAAAAGTTTTTGTTGGAAAATTGGTCCATCTTTGCCGGCGGTACGGATTCAAATGGCCGTACTAACGCTAACGAACATTGCGGAGGTGATCCGATTCGGCAACGGCCTAGAAGAATTCCAATGGCCAAAAGAGGAGAAGTGGCGGACTTGATCAAAGATATGAAAGAGCCAAAAGTTATCGAACCATCGCATAGCCCTTGGTGTTCGGCAGCAGTTATTGTTAAAAAAAGACGGGTCTACCAAATTTTTTGTGGATTATAGGAAGTTGAACAAAGTGACCAAGAAGGATAGCTACCCTTTGCCTAGGATCTATGATACCTTAGACACATTGGCAGGTTGGCAACGGTTCTCAACCTTAGGTTTGAAGTGTGGGTATTGGCAGGTGGAGGTCGCCGAACATGACAAGTTTACCGTAATGCCGTTTGGATTATGCAATGCGCCTGCCACATTTGAGTACCTAATGGACTGCGTGCTAAAAGGGCTGCACTGGAGGACATGCCTGGTGTATTAGGATGATATTATTGTCATGGGTAAACATTTCAAGCAACACCTAAAAAATCTGGCAACTGTTTTTCACCTCTTGCAGGCAGCGGGTTTAAAATTGAGTACCGAAATATGTATGTTCTTTGGGAAGAAAGTGACATATCTTGGACACAAGGTCTCCATGACTGTAACTCACAGGAATGAAGAGAAAATCAGAGCAGTAAAAGAATGGCCACGACCAAACAATTAGCATGAAGTTCGAAGTTTCCTAGGACCTGGTGCATACTACCGCAAATTCGTCCCCAGGTTTGCTATGGTTGCTAGGCGACTACATGATCTTACCAAGAAAAATCGGCCTTTCATAAGGGGGCAGTCTCAAGAGCGCGCATTCACGCAGTTGAAAGAGCTGTCAGCACCCATTTTAGCTTATCTAGTAACAGGAGTAAAATTTATACTGGATACCGATGCAAGCACAGAAGGCTTAGGCAGCGTGCTCTCCCAGCAAATTGATGGTAACGAAAAGGTAATAGCTTATTACAGAAAGCGCCTATCCAAATCCGAGAGGTATTATTGTGTTACGCGACGGGAACTGCTGGCAATAACATAATCTGTCAAGCATTTCCACAAATATCCGTATGGACAACAATTCCACCTAAGGACAGTCCAGATTTCTCTGCAATGGTTACTCATTTTTAAAGAACCAGAAGGATAATTGGCCAGGTGGATCGAAAAATTTGCAAACTTATCAATTCTCGATTTCCCATCGGATTGGCAAATCGCATGGCAATGCGGATACGATGTTCAGACGATGATGCGACCCGCACTGCAAACACTGCGTAAAGAACGAGAATAAAGGAGGTGTCGCCATCTGCTGGACTATTGTGGAGACCAACGGAAGCTTTTCGAAGGAAGACATAGGCAGTGCTCAAATGGCCGACGAAGATTTAAACGCAATATTAAAGGCCTTAGAAAAGGAGAAGCGTCCCACCTGGGAAGAGATTTAAAGGGAAAGTTCCATTTCCAAAGCGTGTTGGGCTCCGTGGCAATGCCCCATCATTGAACATGGATGCTTGCGGCGTATACGGCATAGTGAGGATGCTGCATGATCTAAGAAATTACTGGTGGTCCCACAAGCGAGAACTCGTGAAATTATAAGGCAATACCACAATGGACCAAGCGGAGGGCATCTTGGCATCTTGACTGGCAAGTTTCGAAACAGCTAACCCGTCAGATATTTGGGAAATTCCAGGATTTATATATGAAATTTCAAATTAACTTTATATAAAGCAGTTATTGACTTCGGAGACGTCTATGTTGGATAACAAATCAGTATCATCATCAGCAGCCTATAGTTTGTCTGCCAGTTGCCGTCATTACTACTCTAAGTGTAATGTCGCAAGTGACTTATAATGGCATTTATGTCCGCCTTTCCGTAATTGATGGAAACGATAATATGTTCAATATAATCTGATTTAACAAAGAAGTCAAGAAAAATTAAGGCTTGATAAGATATGGTAGGAATAATCGCTTGACTCGAATTAGCAGTAGTTATATTTCCATTAGTCGCAAAGTAATCTATAAGAAAATTAGATCGATGTTGAAGTTTAAAGTAATTTTGGAGACACGTATCCATTGTGGTAACAAAATAAGGATAAAAAGAGTTGGATGGCTGAAATAAATCATAATTAAAGTCACTAACTGTAATCAAATTGTTATAAAGTCTGTAATATGATGTTTTAGTTTAGCAATTTCGTTTCATATCTCTTTCGTTAAAACAGAATGCAAGTCATAAGATTGTTAAGTGCTCCCAGTAGCAAAAGTTTAATGACGGGTTTTGTCGGGTTTCGATTGGTTTTGATTTCCGGTAGGGAAGATGGAAGACAGCGATAGAAAAGAAAGCGGTTACGGAATTTGGCGACGAAATTTTTAATTGAAAAATAAAAAAAAAAATTTTTTTTGGTCAATAAGTGAATAATGTAAAAATTATTGGTAAAGCAGGACGTTTATAAAAAAATTGTCGTGAAGTATTAATAAAATATTGAAAAAATTTTACCACAAAAATGTTTTATAGTAAAAAAATAGAAGAGAATTGATTAAAAAAAATAACGCAAGAACTGTTTAAAAGGGAAATTAGTTAAATAAAATAAAGAAAATTTTATTAATTTAATTATTTATAATTTATAAACACTCAAAAAGTTGCTATTAAAAGGAGAAAACTCCAAAACTATTCAGAAAAAAATTTTTTTTTTGGTAAAGAAATGCCGTTTTACTTACTTATGTAATTATTGTAAGTGACCGTAATAAAAGAAATTAAAACACCCGAATGTTATTGCAACAAGAAAGATGCAACATTTGAATTTTCAAAAAAAAAGGGGTAATCGATTAAGAATGGAAAAGGCATTTATTGCCTTGTCAACAAAACTTTATGGAAACTTTTTCGGTGTGCAGTAAGAAAAAAAAAGTTATCGATTATATTTTCTTTTACAAGAAGTACCTTGAAATTTTTCTCTGTAAAGAGCAACAAATGTGATCAAAGAAAAGAAAAATTGTATTAAATTTTTATCTGAAATGTATATTATTTTAATCGCGAAACAACAACGGTATTCATTCCTTGCTTGGTGATTTTATGAAGCGTGCTAAAATTTATGATAACAACAGCAGTACACAAGAACACTACCATCATTGCCTATATCTGCGTTTTAATTGGATGACTTTATTCATTTCTTTATTATAAATCAAATATTGTATTGCATGTTTTGTATTACAAAAATTAATGAAACATAAGTCAAGCGAAGAACATATAAGTGATCGCTATCTATAAAGAGAAAATTTATGTATAATTAATTCTTTAATTTAGTATTTAATACTGATTTCCTTAACAATAAACATAAAAAATAAAATGTCGGGTAAGTAAATTTTTGATTATGAGAGAAAGGTAGATTTATAAGGGTGTTCGAACCCAATTTCGCGGTCTGCCACAACTTTTCTGAGGCCGAAGGAACACCAACAGGCAGCGGGGGTATTGAAAGGCTCTATGGGCACATAGCATCTCCGTTCGGTAAGTTAGGTAAGGCGCAACTACCTGCAATTTCTTTTGGCTGTAACCGTGGTAGGAAGCTCGTGAGTAAAAATATAGGATCCCTCAACATTTCACGAACTAGCCCGCTCAGCTATGGAACGTACGCATGACTCATAGGACTCCATTTCTGTTATAGTGGCACTGCAAGGTAAAATTTACGTAGATAGACTTACTGTTATTAGTTAAATAAAATTGGTGTAAGGGCGTGGTTATATAAACATAAGTCTGATAGGCACACACACGCCTGGTTACACAAAAAGTGTCTCACCAACCTGGAGCTAAACATCAAGATAGGGGGACATACAACGCGTTACAAGCCATAAGTTATTTTTCAAACTTGTCAACATCTCCTCTAGGAAGGTAGACTACTCCTACAAAGAGTATTAGTTATTAGTAATTACACTATTAGAATATGGTAATTCTATTGACAAAACCTCGCAAATTTTCTGAGTGCATGCACTTACAGAGGTAACGGCGGGCAACTGTGTAATTCAAAACAAAAAGGTAAATAGGACGTAGAAAACTAATTTATTAGATTAAATATTACATTTTTAAATACGAAAAAAATTTAAGTAAAACAGTGAGAAGTAACTTGTCTGCTATGGATGTTAAGACGAGTACTGAAGATCAATTTGCACTTTTGAACAGAAAGGTAGATTAGTAAATTTGTAAATTAAATCGAATTACAAGTTAGGAATTATTATATTGTTTCATAAAGTTATAATAGTCAAACTACATTTGAGTCGTACTGCATTTTTCAGGCGAGTTGTCTTCTGGAAATCGCGGCTTATCATCTTAAATTTCAAGATCCTCTAACTCTTTCACAATTTTTGGTAAACATAACGCATGTTCGTAAACATTGGTCTACTGTTTTCGCCTAGATAGATTTTAGATAAAATACATCTCCCAGTAATACCAATTCATTTCAAGCAGTGTGACGAGAAGTAGTATTTCATAGTTTGTGCTATTTTTGCTTATGCAAACAATCTGTTGCGTTTAGCTCACAGAGGCAATCTAATACACTAAAATTTAAATGCAGTTTAAGTTAGCTTAAGGTAGCTAAAAGTTGTTTCATCTTCGCTCATATACAGTGAGTCTCATTAATATTAGTTTTTTTTCATACAAGGAAGGATATGAAGAAAAAAACAGGACATTATTAAAAATTAATAATTACTTTTGCTTTACTTTTTGCTTAATATGGTTTTTTAAACGTTTTAATACATTTTGTATAATTTTTCCATCTGACTAATGAACATCAAAAATCTATTTTTTTACGTTTTAGTGTTCATCTTTATTCCGACGGCGATTAATCTACTCAAAATATAACGTCCACTCTGCGGGCAATACTGCAGTATGCCTACGTAAGTGGAGAAAATTTGCCATGCTTGCTCAAATGTATAGCGCAATTAACTTTTTTTTAAAAATTTTATGGCGCACACAAGCAAGTTCGAGAAACCCCATAATCTATACAAATTCTTCACGAGTTTGATATTCGTAATAGACCTTAGCAAATACGTCTGTTCATCTGTCATCAGCAGAGTCAAATGACCATATTTTTCCGTTTCTTTTTCCTCATGTCATCAAAAAAACACTCCCTTGCAGAATAAAATATTCGGTTTCAATATCATTAGAGGACTCAGAGCGATTGATAGACACATGTGGGAAAATACGGAGATTTTTGTTTTGGAGTTGACAAACTTAAAAATATATTTAGGATTAGCGACGAGTTAGGATTTTATCAACAGAAGGTACATGCGATAATATTGGTGGCTGAGGTAATTGAATCTGTGCCTTGATGCGGAATATGCAAAATAGCAGAAGCATGGAAACAGTCTAACATTGTCAGCGTAAATTAAGATCTAGTTGAGTTGAGTCACCGAGTGGAGATCATTAAGGTGATGAAGTTAAGCAGATCCCTGAAAAACCTGTTATGCAGGTAAGCGCTTATGAATTTTACTAAGTAGAAGGGGAAGTTAGAGGTCTAGAGTTTGAAGATCAATAAGTCACGGTTATCTAAGTCAAACGCTTTACTAAAATCATTATATACATCCTTGCAAGAACTACTGGAAAAAGCACTGAAAGCACTGCAAGTAAACTCTGAAAGATTCGTGACAGTAAATCTTACTTTCGGAAAGCCATGCTGGAATGAAGAAATAAAAGATTTAATAGAAAAAGTTAGATGCTGAATAACAATTCACTCAAACAATTTAGGTAAGACACTCGACTTGGCAATGTCTCTATAATTCTTAACGTGATGTCTGTTTTCACATTTTTGAAGCAGAATAAAGAAACTACTCTTCTAATACCAAAGGAAAAGACCTGATTTCAAGGGGTGATTAAAAACAAAAGTTAGGAATCGGAACCTGGTTAGATATCAGGTACGGATAGTTGAGCAAAGAGATTCAAGGTTTCAATATCATCAAAATGTTAGTTTTATTAAGGTATAAATATTTGGCAGATTCAAGGGACAAAATACACATTGCTGGATGGTACGGATCCTCAGACAAACTAAATGGTGCACAGCGATTTACAGCTATCTCCGAGAAGTTGACAAAGCAAAGGTCTAGCAGTCTGCCATTACGATTAGGAGTACGGTTGTATTGGAGTAAATTACAATTAAAAATACAATAGCTCTATAAGATGTTGAAGTGCGGACAATACGGCCAAAATTATCATTACAACACCAAGTGACTTGTGGCAAATTGAAGGCCCCCTGTGCTGTGACTGTAGACTTTTCGCCAATAGCACAAATGAGGGTCGCATGTTTCTTATAAATAGAGATATTCGCACTCGGGGCAATGTAGGAGCAAGCTACGCATTTATTGACAATTTTCGCTCGAATGACAATAAATTCAACGGGAGAAGTAGGAAGTTTAATTGGACAGGACGGGACTGTAGCAGATATGGCAATTAAAAGACCAGTGC